TTGGAAATAAGGGCGAAGTTTCCGAGCAGACATGACCAATGCTAGAGCTAATTTCTCAATGTTGGAGTATCGTGTCTCCGCATCTTGTAGGGCCTTGCTAGCGTAGTAGACGGGCCGTTCGACACCACTGTCCATTCGAATAAGAACAGAACTGACTGCTGAAGCCGAAACCGATAGATAGATGATGAGAGTGTCACCAACTTCTGGTTTGGAGAGCAGAGGGGCTTTACTCATGTACTCTTTGAGATTCCTGAATGCCTTGGCACATTCCTCCGTCCATGTAATGTACTTCTTATTTCCCTTGAGTGCTTTGAAGAAAGGAGCACATCTGTCTGTGGCCTTAGAGATGAATCTGGTTAAGGCTGCCACCTTGCCAGTAAGGCTTTGGATGTCTTTTGAAGTTATTGGCTCTTTCATGTCGAGGATTGCTTTGATCTTTTCAGGGTTAGCTTCAATGCCTCGTTGGCTAATCATGAAGCCTAAGAATTTGCCAGAGCCCACGCCGAAGGCACATTTGTTGGGGTTCAACCTCATTCGATACCTCTTTAGAATGGTGAAAGTTTCAGATAGGTTGGTGATGTGTTGGTCAGCATGTTTGCTCTTGACTAGCATATCATCAACGTAAACTTCCATGCTCTTCCCAATCTGTTCGGCGAACATTGAATTGACCAGTCTCTGATAAGTTGCTCCTGCATTCTTTAGGCCGAAAGGCATGACCTTATAGCAATACAGTCCCCTGTCAGTAGTGAAAGCCGTATGTTCTTGGTCTGAGGGGTTCATGAGGATTTGGTTGTATCCTGAATAAGCGTCCATGAAGCTCAAGAGCTCACACCCTGCCGTAGAGTCTATAAGTCTATCAATGAGAGGAAGAGGGAAAGCTATCCTTCGGGCATCCTTTGTTTAGGTCGGTGTAGTCGACACACATTCTCCACAAGACCTTTTGAAGCAGGAGACTTTCCTTGGTCGGATTTTTCTTAACAAGGACAACATTTGCTACCCATGTTGGGTAATTGACTTCACGGACGAAGCCTATGTCCTTGAGTTTTTCAACTTCTGCTTTCATTGCCTCGTATCGCTCAGCATCATAAGATCTTCGCCTCTGTTTCACTGGTTTGGTCTTGGGATCAATACTCAAGTGATGACAGATGATATCGGGAGAGATGCCCGGCATATCTCGTATATGACCAAGGCGAAGACCTCGGCGTTCTCTTGCAAAAAAGGAGATCAATGCGACAACCGAAGGGGTGGTGACAAGTAGTGCCAATCTTCACCATGCGGTCTGAATGGTCTTTGGAGATAGAGACATTCTCTAACTCTTCAGCGGGTTGTGCTTGCTGGGTGAAAGGAGTCATCTCGAGGGTCGTCGGGTTGACTGTTGCTATCAGGAAGATCCAAGTTCGCTTCATCTAGGCTGGTCTTTACGACTTGGTTATGTATAGAGAGAGTCTCCTTGGGGACAGACAGGTGTTGTTGTTTGACTGAAGTGTTGTAACATGATCGTGCACTAAGCTTGATCTCCTCTGATGTAGCCGTTGCCATGTGGGGTTGGAAATTTCATCAACAGCATATGCGTGGATACCATAGCCTTGAGATCATTGATGCCTGTGCGCCCAAAAGATGACATTGTATGCCGTCGGGCAATTGACCACTAGAAGTTAGTGGTAATAGTAGCTGTGTAGGGGCCTGTACCAATGGTGAAGGGTAAGTGTATACTCCTAAAGGTTGCACGATATTCGCCAGAGAAGCTTATCAGAGGAGAAATCGAGCGATCTAGCAATGTGTTCAGCTACATTAAGTGCTTGAAAGCTTCAGCAAACATGATATTGACTGAAGCACCTGTGTCTATCAGGATTTGTTTCACATTCAAAATTTGGCTATGTGAGCTTCCACGATCAGCGGGTCATTGTGAGGGTAGATGATACTCTTTCTTCCTCAGGGTAGAAACATATTGGATCCCAGTTAGGCTTTTGATACTTGCCTCCTCTGATGTCTTCCACGTGAAACACTTGATGGCCAGGTCTCAAAGTTCGTTCACTGCTTTTCATGGCCCTATTGGAAGATTCAGATATGGGTGTGCCACCGCTTATGGAATATATGACATTCACCTGGCGTTGGTTACGGTTATCCCTTTGAGGGTGAAGAAGGAATTGATCAATTTTTCCTTCTCGTGCCAAAGCTTCAATACGATCACGGAGGATGATACATTTCTCGCTATCATGGCCGTTATGCTCATGGTAGCAACAAAACATGCTCGCGTTATTCGGGGGCGTGTAATCTGGGTGCCTCGGCTTTGGCTTTGGTATCAGGTGAGCTATGCTGGGTAATGGCCGCGCATGTGGCATTCAAGGGCGTGTATGTCTCATACCTTGGGGTAGGGGGTATCTTGACGCGGGTTTGACCCACTGCATTGACTGCCTGGGGCGAGCGTTATTGTGGCGATACCCTTGGTTATCGGGATAGTGTCCCTTACTCTTTTTACTGGAAGGAGAGTGGTGAGGATGGAAATCCTTCCTCTTGCCTTGAAATTGATATGTCTGTTGATTCGGTGAAGCATTATGCAAGGCATGGGGAGGTGCCACTGCTGTTTGGAAAGTCGAGGTCTTCTCATTTAGGTGAGTCTGGCTTCCACCTCCCACTTGTTGATAAAGGATGGTTGTAGGGGGTTTCTCCTGATATGTCTTTGCCTCGGCGGAGGCATGGTTATAAGCCTGCGCCATCACCTCAGAGTAAGTCTTCCAAGTATTGGCATTGATCATGTATTTAAAGAAACAATCACGTAGGCCTGCCGTGAAGGCTTTGAGGGCAGTCTTGTCGTCTGCCTCGGCACACCGGGAGTATTCATGGCTGAAGCGGCCAGCATACATACGTAATGACTCGTCTGGCTTCTGGCGGATAGTGTACAAGTCATCTGCAGAGTGCAAGCGATCGGTTTGGAAAATGTGTTGGGAAACAAATAGTTTCCTCAATTCCTCAAATGAGTCTACCGTCTCAGGTGTAAGACGACAATACCAATTTAGAGCTCCACTAGAGAGGGTGGAGGGGAAGAGAAGACATCGCTCTTCGTCGGTGTGCATCCGGTATGCCATGGTGGACTCAAAGAGGTTAAGGTGCTCAATCGGGTCCTCTTTTCCAGTATAAAGTTGCAAGCCAAGCTTTTGCTTTGTCTTTGCTTGAAGGGGGGTGTTGAGGATCCTCCTTGTAAGAGGGCCAGGCCTGGGTTGGTTCCAGTCAGGTATTTCAGCCTGACGTTCAGCCTTCAACTTGTTTACTTCCTCAAGAAGTTGTAGGACAAGGGGGTCCTGAGCGGAGTTATGTGTCACTGGAGCTTTCTTTCGTAAATCTCCATCTCCTATTGGAATTAGGAAGGTTTGATCAAGGGCATGTGATTTTTCCCTGGACTCGCTGTACTGGCTTCCAGGGTATGTCTGTCGGAACACCTCTGAGTCCCCTGTACCCTCATGTCTCTCTAGGACTTGTTGCCCTTCCCCAAATTGGTGGCCGGCTTGGCGTGGCAGGGGACCGAGTCTCTCAGAAATCCTTGGTCATTAATCTTTGAGCTTATATGGATGGAATTCTCTCGACGTTGCTTCAAGAAATCCGACAATCGCGAAGACGGCTTTCGATCCTTCTGCCCCCTTCAGCAAAGAGGTGTCCTTCCCTCCATTTCTCATGGTCGGGTCGAAGCAACTGGGTTAAGAGAAGCCTCATGTTGATTATCAAGTCGAGGGGTAATCTGTTCCCTATCAGGGATATCTATGTCGAATGCATGTGACCCTCCATGTTGGAGGGCACCCCAGTTGATGGTTGACTTCCACGGGGGCAACAAGCTCGCGTGTCTGAGCTTGCCTAGCTTCGTGGAGTGTCTCGAAGAGCTTCTCATATTGCTCCTGGAGGACCTCATTCCTCATTGCTATCTTGTTGTTCTGAGCTTCCAACTCATCGACTTTAGCTTGAAGGAGAACTCGTTTTCCTTCCTTCTTTCGTTGTTTCGCACTATGTGCAAGGGGGTGTCATTCTGTGTGCTGTGGCTTCCTTCGCTTCCCATGTTGGGAGGGATGCCTGGTCAAAAGAAAGTGTACGAATGATAGAAACCAGCTGACACAGCTGAAGAGAGTAGGAATAAGTTCGTTTCCCACAGACGGCGCCAAATGTTGATGCACAAAATCAGCGAAGACTTTGGTACAACAGAAAGTGTCAGGTTTTGTGACCTTCGCTTGGTTGCTTCGTCACTAGTGAGGATAAGTACGTAAATGAATAGAGACAGAGAAGCAAACACAGGATGTACGTGGTTCACCCAGATTGGCTACGTCCACGAGTAGAGGAGTTCTTATTAGTAGTGAAGGGCTTACACAAGTACAAAGGATCAAGCTTCAATTTAGTGAAGATAACACAAATGATTTAACACAAAATGGCATCAGCACTCAGCATCCAATATATTCATCATATGTAGTGGGAGCAATGGGGATAATCAGTACACATAATAATTGGTGGAAAAAAATTGACAAATATATAGCAAATGTGCAGATAAAACGGAAGCATGTGGAAACCACAAAAATAATATGTTGCTTGGTTCCCAGAGACACATGCGCAAACATGCATGGCCAAAAAATAAGGCACAAATTGAAACATGCATACCTGTCAATGTGGCAATTTTTGTCACACATTTCCCTCCAAACAAAAAACCAATCCAACTAAACAAAAACCTTCTCTTTGAGAGAGACCAAAGAAAGTGGCTGCCAAAATCCTTATCTCTTACTGTGGAAATTGGCTGAACTGAGAAGAAGACATGGCAGCACTGGCTGCAAATTTCATCACCGTATGGTCTGCAAATATTATAGACATGCCAAGCGAACCTTCCATCTGTTGCTCAATGCAGCCGTCACAAAACAACATCAAGGTGTTTAATAATGTGAACTATTGATTAAAATAAAATTTGTTGCTAACGTGATCTCTATGTTTGAGATAGGTAATTATAAACAGAGCAGCGAAGGAAATTGAAGGGCGGCTGTAACTGTCGTGACCAGAGCTAGAGGAATGGAGGTGGCTGGTTCAGTGGACTCTTATCTCGTAGGAGAAGACATTGGGAAGGTATTTTCCTTCATTTCTTAATACATTTTCATTTTTGTGTTAGTATTGTCATCAACACTCATCATCTAGAGTTGTTAACAGCGATCCCTATTTCATACACTACTTTTTTAAGTAGCATGTTAACATATGGGGATAATTTGATCTTTCCTTCTAACAAATTTTAGGTGTGTGACATGGAAGAGCCTTTGGAAATACCGATAACGAATGATCTCACAATGGTCTTAGGTTCCATTTCACAGGTAACCAATTCAATAGTTGAATATTAATAAATAGATACACGTATGTGTTTATTCTGTCGATACTTCTCATTCCTCTGTGACAATTGGCAGTCTAAAGCATTAGGAGTAGTTGTTGATTCACTGAGCCTTCCAAAGTCTACGACAATGTTAAACAGGTAATGTAATTACACAAGTACTATTTATGACACATTAAAAACCCTGATTCCGTTTTCTCATTTGATTGATTATTTCTCTACTAGGCAACAGCATTTGGCATGAGAAGTGTGGTTTATGTGCCGAAAATTAAATTAGATACAGTATCAGCATTATCTGCATTATGTGACAAAGCCAGCATCGTGAGCACAGGATGAGATGTACTTCATACAATAAGTTTTAGAAGTTGTTTCTTTTTTTTGCTTTTCTCCCACTTTTATCACGGAATGAAACCATACATTTGTCACTGATATGGAGCTGCAACTGTGTTCAGGGTTGTCTCATTGCACCGACTTTGTCCATTGGATCGATACTTCTCCAACAAGCTGCAATTTCAGCTTCCTTCCACTACAACAATGTAGAAATTGTGGAATCAAGAGCATCTGCAACGGTAAATTCGGTTACTCATTCGTAAAAATGGCAAACTCTCACTTTTTAATATGTATGAAACCATATAATTGTATGTCCTATGTAACTTGTAACACATATTTAATGTCCCCTATAGCTGTTTGCCCTTGAATATGTAACATCAGAAGCCCAGTTATCCTACACATGAAGATCATATGCTACAGTTGTATTTGAGGTACAGGATTTTCCATCATCAGATGCAACCCAAATTGCCAACAACCTGTCTAACCTTGGCCAAATCTACAACAGAGAAGATATTTCAACCGATGTTCTAGTAAGCACAAGTACAAATTGTTGTTTTTTGGTTCAAGTTTTATGCCTTGGATTGGAACTAATTACTATATTTTTATCGTATGTGCAAAAGGCAAGGGGCCAAGTTCTGGGAGATGGAGTTCGAGTGCTTAGCACAACAGTTCATTTTTCTCGTCTCGGAGAGGTTTACTCTCTGAAACATGACATCACAGATGTGCAATGTCTCATGCCAGCCTTCTCTTAGCAATCAGAAATATTGTGCGCATAAAGGTAACCAATTAATACATTTGTATCGCATCGCATCTTTTATAATTTTCAATCATATCCTGCCTTCAACCGATAATACATCTTCTGTCTTTGTTTCTTTATTGCAGAACCTGGTGTATAACTTGCAGAAATTTTTATGAACATTCCGTCTCACTGATCTTAAACCCAACCACATAATTTCGACTTCCATGTAACTTAGAAAAGAATGAAGATTTTGTTAACTAACTTTATTGTGTTATGCTCCATTGCTCTTAGAAATTGGGTCTATCTCAAATCTGTCTGATCCGGTCATACTCTTGCTAAGTCACTATTTTAAGAGAAGATTCTTTGACCATGGACTAGAAAAACACTATTGGATGAAAGGCCCGTTGACTCGCACTCCATTAGAAGACCTTTTGGCTATTTGACCAAGACTAGATATTTGTTGATATTTAGATATTNAAGAGGTTAAGGTGCTCAATCGGGTCCTCTTTTCCAGTATAAAGTTGCAAGCCAAGCTTTTGCTTTGTCTTTGCTTGAAGGGGGGTGTTGAGGATCCTCCTTGTAAGAGGGCCAGGCCTGGGTTGGTTCCAGTCAGGTATTTCAGCCTGACGTTCAGCCTTCAACTTGTTTACTTCCTCAAGAAGTTGTAGGACAAGGGGGTCCTGAGCGGAGTTATGTGTCACTGGAGCTTTCTTTCGTAAATCTCCATCTCCTATTGGAATTAGGAAGGTTTGATCAAGGGCATGTGATTTTTTCCCTGGACTCGCTGTACTGGCTTCCAGGGTATGTCTGTCGGAACACCTCTGAGTCCCCTGTACCCTCATGTCTCTCTAGGACTTGTTGCCCCTTCCCCAAATTGGTGGCCGGCTTGGGCCGTGGCAGGGGACCGAGTCTCTCAGAAATCCTTGGGTCATTAATCTTTGAGCTTATATGGATGGAATTCTCTCGACGTTGCTTCAAGAAATCCCGACAATCGCGAAAGACGGCTTTCGATCCTTCTGCCCCTTCAGCAAAGAGGTGTCTCCCTCCATTTCTCATGGTTCGGGTCGAAGCAACTGGGTTAAGAGAAGCCTCATGTTGATTATCAAGTCGAGGGGTAATCTGTTCCCTATCAGGGATATCTATGTCGAATGCATGTGACCCTCCATGTTGGAGGGCACCCAGTTGATGGTTGACTTCCACGGGGGCAACAAGCTCGCGTGTCTGAGCTTGCCTAGCTTCGTGGAGTGTCTCGAAGAGCTTCTCATATTGCTCCTGGAGGACCTCATTCCTCATTGCTATCTTGTTGTTCTGAGCTTCCAACTCATCGACTTTAGCTTGAAGGAGAACTCGTTTTCCTTCCTTCTTTCGTTGTTTCGCACTATGTGCAAGGGGGGTGTCATTCTGTGTGCTGTGGCTTCCTTCGCTTCCCATGTTGGAGAGGGATGCCTGGTCAAAAGAAAGTGTACGAATGATAGAAACCAGCTTGACACAGCTGAAGAGAGTAGGAATAAGTGTCGTTTCCCACAGACGGCGCCAAATGTTGATGCACAAAATCAGCGAAGACTTTGGTACAACAGAAAGTGTCAGGTTTTGTGACCTTCGCTTGGTTGCTTCGGTCACTAGTGAGGATAAGTACGTAAATGAATAGAGACAGAGAAGCAAACACAGGATGTACGTGGTTCACCCAGATTGGCTACGTCCACGGAGTAGAGGAGTTCTTATTAGTAGTGAAGGGCTTACACAAGTACAAAGGATCAAGCTCTCAATTTAGTGAGTTAACACAAAATGATTTAACACAAAATGGCATCAGCACTCAGCATCCAATATATTCATCATAATGTAGTGGGAGCAATGGGGATAATCAGTACACATAATAATTGGTGGAAAAAAATTGACAAATATATAGCAAATGTGCAGATAAAACGGAAGCATGTGGAAACCACAAAAATAATATGTTGCTTGGTTCCCAGAGACACATGCGCAAACATGCATGGCCCAAAAAATAAGGCACAAATTGAAACATGCATACCTGTCAATGTGGCAATTTTTGTCACACATTTCCCTCCAAACAAAAAACCAATCCAACTAAACAAAAACCTTCTCTTTGAGAGAGACCAAAGAAAGTGGCTGCCAAAATCCTTATCTCTTACTGTGGAAATTGCTGAACTGAGAAAATAGCCATGGCAGCACTGAGCTGCAAATTTCATCACCGTATGGTCTGCAAAAATTATAGACATGCCAAAGCGAAACCTTCCATCTGTTGCTCAATGCAGCCGTCACAAACAACATCAAGGTGTTTATATAATGTGAACTATTGAAAATTAAACTAAAATTTGTTGCTAAACGTGATCTCTATGTCTTGAGATAGGTAATTATAAACAGAGCAGCGAAGGAAATTGGAAGGGCGGCTGTAACTGTCGTGACCAGAGCTAGAGGAATGGAGGTGGCTGGTTCAGTGGACTCTTATCTCGTAGGAGAAGACATTGGGAAGGTATTTTCCTTCATTTCTTAATACATTTTCATTTTTGTGTTAGTATTGTCATCAACACTCATCATCTAGAGTTGTTAACAGCGATCCCTATTTCATACACTACTTTTTTAAGTAGCATGTTAACATATGGGGATAATTTGATCTTTCCTTCTAACAAATTTTAGGTGTGTGACATGGAAGAGCCTTTGGAAATACCGATAACGAATGATCTCACAATGGTCTTAGGTTCCATTTCACAGGTAACCAATTCAATAGTTGAATATTAATAAATAGATACACGTATGTGTTTATTCTGTCGATACTTCTCATTTCCTCTGTGACAATTGGCAGTCTAAAGCATTAGGAGTAGTTGTTGATTCACTGAGCCTTCCAAAGTCTACGACAATGTTAAACAGGTAATGTAATTACACAAGTACTATTTATGACACATTAAAAACCCTGATTCCGTTTTCTCATTTGATTGATTATTTCTCTACTAGGCAACAGCATTTGGCATGAGAAGTGTGGTTTATGTGCCGAAAATTAAATTAGATACAGTATCAGCATTATCTGCATTATGTGACAAAGCCAGCATCGTGAGCACAGGATGAGATGTACTTCATACAATAAGTTTTAGAAGTTGTTTCTTTTTTTTGCTTTTCTCCCACTTTTATCACGGAATGAAACCATACATTTGTCACTGATATGGAGCTGCAACTGTGTTCAGGGTTGTCTCATTGCACCGACTTTTGTCCATTGGATCGATACTTCTCCAACAAGCTGCAATTTCAGCTTCCTTCCACTACAACAATGTAGAAATTGTGGAATCAAGAGCATCTGCAACGGTAAATTCGGTTACTCATTCGTAAAAATGGCAAACTCTCACTTTTTAATATGTATGAAACCATATAATTGTATGTCCTATGTAACTTGTAACACATATTTAATGTCCCCTATAGCTGTTTGCCCTTGAATATGTAACATCAGAAGCCCAGTTATCCTACACATGAAGATCATATGCTACAGTTGTATTTGAGGTACAGGATTTTCCATCATCAGATGCAACCCAAATTGCCAACAACCTGTCTAACCTTGGCCAAATCTACAACAGAGAAGATATTTCAACCGATGTTCTAGTAAGCACAAGTACAAATTGTTGTTTTTTGGTTCAAGTTTTATGCCTTGGATTGGAACTAATTACTATATTTTTATCGTATGTGCAAAAGGCAAGGGGCCAAGTTCTGGGAGATGGAGTTCGAGTGCTTAGCACAACAGTTCATTTTTCTCGTCTCGGAGAGGTTTACTCTCTGAAACATGACATCACAGATGTGCAATGTCTCATGCCAGGCCTTCTCTTAGCAATCAGAAATATTGTGCGCATAAAGGTAACCAATTAATACATTTGTATCGCATCGCATCTTTTATAATTTTCAATCATATCCTGCCTTCAACCGATAATACATCTTCTGTCTTTGTTTCTTTATTGCAGAACCTGGTGTATAACTTGCAGAAATTTTTATGAACATTCCGTCTCACTGATCTTAAACCCAACCACATAATTTCGACTTCCATGTAACTTAGAAAAGAATGAAGATTTTGTTAACTAACTTTATTGTGTTATGCTCCATTGCTCTTAGAAATTGGGTCTATCTCAAAATCTGTCTGATCCGGTCATACTCTTGCTAAGTCACTATTTTAAGAGAAGATTCTTTGACCATGGACTAGAAAAACACTATTGGATGAAAGGCCCGTTGACTCGCACTCCATTAGAAGACCTTTTGGCTATTTGACCAAGACTAGATATTTGTTGATATTTAGATATTTATTTAGTAGGTAGATAGAGGCCACATCACCACTCCATATATATGGACCACATACTTGACCTTCCTTGAGAAGGCTTGGCTGCCTACAAAAGGAAGGCATGAGCACCATTGTAGGATCTTCCATGGCAGCCCTACCGACATTATCACAGAGACAACAAAGCCTTATTACCCCAACCAAAATTGCAATCTACAAACCTTCCACCCTGTTTTTGGCAAACATGGACTTCGTGCTTTTGGAGACTGGACCCGTGCATTTCTTGTTGTTGCATAGCTTGTATGATTTCTTTTGCCTGTTATTGTAGTGCTGCTCCAAAGCTGCCCAATGCCTAAAGTACATGCCAGTGCATATGTTGCAGTTGATCTTCTTACCCGAACCAATGTGTTTGTCATCTTTGTGAGCCACCAAAAACAGTTGAGTTGGATGAAGTGAGCCATACAATTCACAAGCAAATTCCTCAGCAGCCTTTTCCATTTTCTTTTCGCAAGTTGCAGCCCTTTCCATTTTCTTTTGGCAAGTTCTTAGATGAAAGAAGATTAATTTGAGGAAAGCCTTATCAAAGACGGTAGAAATAGTAAATACCCCAACCAACATTTACATGGTTCATTGGTTGAAGAGGTATACGACAACCATCAGGTTTTGTGGATTGTCAAAAGGGTCATCTCTGACACTTTGGAGACCTATGCGAATTTCATAAAAAGACCCTCCTAA